TGCGGTGAGCCGAGATCGCGCCATTGCACTCCAGCCTGGGTAACAAGAGCGAAACTCTGTCTCAAAAAAAAAAAAAAAAAAAAAGAGAGACAAGACTGGTGCTGTTAGCCTCATAAGACAAAACTAGAAATGAGAGGTCATGTTTTAGCTCAGTATTAGGAAAGACTTTTGGATCAGATAACCAGGGAATGGGTTATCCAGAAAGAAACTGGGATCACCATACCTAGAGTAGAAACAGAAGCCAGTTAATGGCTCCAGATGACACTACTGAGAGAGAGTGGAATATCAGAAGCTGACTAACAGAAGGTGACTGTATTTGATAAGAAACAGCATTAACAATCTTAGAAGAGAAGCTTCAAGGAGTTTTAGGGAGCAGAGGATGGAAAGATGAGTGTTAGATTCAAAACAAGATAGAAGTAAACAGAGCCATAAAAAGAGATAAAAGAACACGAATTCAAAGAGATGGACTGCAAAATCTGACTGAAAACTTCTTCCTCCAGAGAGTCTTGCATGAGTACTATCAATGGGTACTAGAGTACTTAAGATTGTGGCTTCTGAAGGCAAGTAAGATACATGCTACCTTTAATAACAATACTGCAGAGGGAACATGTTCCTTTGTCTTACAAAAGAGGAAGAGTATTCTAAGGAATTAGACAAACTTGGTTCCAAATTAAGATTACCACCATAGGGCCTTAGGCAATTCTGTTTTGAGTTCTAGGGCTTTCTTTTAAAGGCAGTGGTCTGATTTGAAGTCAGATTGGAAAGCTGCAGATATGCTTAAGATTTAACGTACAATGACATAAAATTTCAAGCCAGTAATCAGAAAGCACAAAAGGCTTAGATTGAATCAATCGAATTAAGGTAAGTAAGGAAATTATTCTCTTCTGAGTAGAAAATAATAATCATGAGTATTTGTTTGTACCAGAGGTGTTCTTTCTTTTTTTAGGTGGGTCAGTAGAGCAAGAGAAAACAAGGATCTGAGAAGATAACCTAGAAAAGCAAACAGGGAATCTTTCCTGTAACAATTCTTGTGCAAATAAGTTACAGCTCCCTTGAATTGAACAGATGTTCACTGACCATGTACTATGTATATGTGCTTGTGAAGACTTTGACTCCTGAAGATGCAGTTATACTTACGTTTGTAGAACATTTACTGGGTTCTGAGTACCAGGCACTAAAATAAATGCTTATCAAGTTATTGCATTTAAAGAGTCAAAACTACTCTATAAGGCATTTTTGTTGGTGTAATTTTGAATACAGGAGGTAAGAAAGGCTCAGGAAGATTAAGTCACTTGCAAATCTGATTAGATTTGCATTTTAGAAACAACTCTTTGGATGTACAAAAAATTGGTAATGGTTATTTTTTAAAATTCTGTATTGATCACATGTATTCTCTTACTTCACATACAGGCTAAAACAAAAGACTAGATTTAGAGAGCCAAATTAAGAGGTTACTGCAATAGTGCAGGCAGAAATGAAGAAAGTCTGAATTCAATAAAGGCAGAGGGAATAAATGAAGACCAACAGGTCTGAGAGATTGACTGGATACAGTCGTGCCTGGGTGAGTTGTGATGCTGTTAACAGAGATCAGGAATATAGACATTAGAAGCATTTCAGAAAATAGGGCCAATATGAAAAGAAGTTCAATTCTGGATATGTTACACTGAAGTGCCTATGGCACATCCAGATAAAGAGTACCCTTAAAAAAAAAGTAGAAATAAGATCTGGAGTTGCAGAGAATGTCTTAGCTGAAATACAGATTTGGAGTCAATGTTGTAGTCAAGGGTATCTGAATCACTAAGAGATAATACACAGAAGGATGAGAATGGAAGGTCAAATTTAGGATCCTCGATAATCCAACAAATAAAGGACAGAATAAAGAGTATGTGAAAGAAATGTAAAAAGGTGGTGTGGATAGAAGAAAGCCAAAGCAAGTGACATTCCAGAAGCCAAGAGGAAAGGACAGAGTTTCAAGAAGTGAGGAGTTATGCATAGTTCCAGACACAGTAAAGTGGTCAAGTGGATGAAAACTAAAAAGAAGTCATGCATTTTGACAATTCTGATAATCTTAGCAAGAACCATTTAGTACAATATAGCTCAAAATGTGTCATCAAATGGAATCTTAGGAGAGGGCCTAAAAAGTAAGCCCATTATTCCAAATCTTATTTTATTGGGTTAGTGTAAAAGCAACTTATCTTCCTTTTTCAATGATTTACTCAATAAACTAGTAACATTAAGAAGAGTGATACATAAACAAATCAGATTTGTTCTGGCAAAAGAAGACACTGAGGTGGAGAACAAAGAAAGTGTGAAGAACGCTTTCACACTATAGCATGTTATCTGCCTCACCACCTAGGGGTCACCCTCATGATGCTACAATATAATGACTGTTAAAAGAAGAAAACAAATTTTTAAAAGTAGAGAAAAGCCTAAGCTTAAAGCGTGAGAGTTGATTTTTCCCCAGAACCACAGCTCAGGTCAAATCAACTTACTTTCAAGTCTAAGGGCATCTGAGTCCCTCCCTGAATTCGCAACAGAGAATACAGGGTCCTCCTCTGTTCCTCTCTCAGAGGGCTCTTCTTCAGCAGCATCCAGTGACTGTGAGTTGTCAAAATATTTCTGTTTGTCATGGCTGTTGTCCAGGGTTTTCTCATGACAATTACCTCAATGACAAGAGACACAGATATAGCACATTAGAAACATCTCTCTTGTGTTGTACGATAGTACAGGGTCCTAAAATATCAAGAGCAAAAATGTGACAATGCTTGTTTTTCTTCAGCAGAACACACAAAAATCAGTGAGTTGCACCCAAAGCCAGATCACTACTGTGATTCAAGATTTTGCACTTAAGTTCAAGTTTCAGCTGTAAGCTATTGTTAAATATTTGGGAGAAGAAAAAAAAAAAACTGTAACAACAAAGATCAAGTCCCAAGACCTTGTTCCATTCATAATGGCCATGAAATATTTTCTTGAGGATAGAAATATGATCAAAAAGTTTTCCTTCTATTTGCCTTTCGAAAGTGAGAAATGACAGAGTAAGTCTGAGATAGATAAATTATAGCAGAGAAAAACACTATTTTTGCATCATGGCTTAAAATAAGATATACTAAAAGATGATGAATTATTAAAAATTAAAAGCCAAAGAATTAAACGGGATAATGCAGAAAATCAACACTTAAGACTGCAATATAACTTCTGAAAATGTTTTGCAATGTTTCTTTTGGAAAACAAGTTCTGGTCATGTCAATAAAAATAACTTGGCATGTATAGTGGGAACGAGTCAAAGGGTTTTGATCCTATTAGGAGTTGTGTGTTAATATGAACCAAAACCCCCACTATTCAGCTCTACTTGATGGTCATTCTCTAGGTAGAGAAGTATATTACCAGATAGTTGTATCTAATATGGCAGCAATCTGGCTGACATCTGTCCCTCCTTTGACTACCCATCGTTAGTTCTAACTGATCTGGCAAGCTGAATGGGTGCCCTCTTTCCCCTTTGTGTTCCATGGACATTATCAATGAAAATGCATTTTCAGTGGAGGAGCATAACTTTCCTGTTAGAGGACAATTCTTTGGTTAAGAGTGTATAAACAGCTGCTTACCTTAACCAGAACATTCAAACACACTCAAAGTTTATATTTTAGAGAATGTTGTCTCAAAGACAGACTGATTTGTCTGTCTGTCTATCTATCTATCTATCTATCTATCTATCTATCTATCTATCTACGTCTATCTATCTATCTATCTATCTATCTATCTATCTATCTGTATACGTCCACCAAACCAAGCTCTCTTTCTTGACTCATGGCTCTGTTTTAGATTTCATAATTTAAGAAAGTACTTCTAATGCCATTTCCCTTACTGTGCCAAGAAAATGTAATGGACTCAAAACCTTTTCCAACTTCATGACTTTGGAGTAAGGGGACCACATGCTTAGAGAGTCACTTTCCATTTTCCACATTTACACAATTATACATTGGAATCCATTGTATTTAACAAGACTATGTCAGAAATTGAGGATTCTTTGTTTTAAGAGCTTTAGCTTTCAAGAAACTGACAAACAACTTGGGAGACAGTAAATACAAGACAACACACAATACTTGTGCCAAATAAGTGCTTCAGAGAATAAGCTTTGGGTAGTTAGAACTCAAAAATTTTGAAGAATAGGTAGGACTTATAAAAGGGGAACTACAGGAAATGGAAGAAATATTTTTTGAGTGCTTGATATTTTTTCCTCCACTCTACCCTCATAAAATCCATGTGTGTCTTCATTTTACAAATGAGGAAACTCATTCTCAGTAAAATAAAGTAACTTGCCTAACGTCAAAAGTAAGTGGTAGATCTGAGATCTTGATTAGGTTGGCCTTATTACAAGGCTTCTGAGCTTCCTTCTGGTCAGCAGGGAAGGCAGCATTCTAGGCAAGGAGGAATAACGTGTAGGGCAAAGCAACAGGCATGGGAACTCTCATTTGTGTTGGGAGCAGTGAGAAGTACAACTTGATAAAGACTGAGTGCTGTGTGTGTGTGTGTGTGTGTGTGCATGCGTGCACGTGCGTGCCCATGGAGGGCTAATGGGAAAGAAGCCATGAGTAATGGTAGTTGCTTTCTTTCTCCAGATTCTCCTACGACAGGACAGAGGTTGTCAGTTTGCCTCCACTTCTGTTTTCACCATCTGGTATGTGTAGTTAAGTCAGGGGAGCTAAACATAAGAGCATTAAAATAAAACAGAATAACGACATCAACCATCTCTGCACACACAATTGACTATAATTTATTATGAAGAACATCACATTTCTCAGAGACAATTCTTAACTGGGATATAAATAAGCATGACTATTAAAAGCAGAGAGGAAATAATGATGACGATGATGCTGATGAAAGCATTCTTCATGTTGACATGGGCTGTGTAAAACAGCATTGTAAAAGCAAAGGACAAGCCTTTAACACTGGAACCCAGTGATATTCTATGTTTTCTGAAGTTGATTTCCTCCCTCAACATTTGATTCTCTTCTGTTTCTCTCCTACCCTCTGCCTACAGTAAAAATTTAATTGGTCTCATCTTTTTAAATTTCTGTAATACAAAAAAATACCTTGTAGGTAATTTATAAAATGTTATGTGCACAAGGGACCCTGAAGCTAAAATTATTCCTTCTGCATGACCTCAAACTCAGACATCTTGAGCAAGCCGTGTGCATTCTAAGAATGTCTTGCCCTCAAATTCAGGAAATTGGGGCCAACATCTCTCAGAAGGAGAGGAGAAGAATAATCAGGGAGGCGTACATGAATTAAAAAAAAAAGAGTAAGAGGTTTATGTTAGGTTATTTCTTGGAAATAGGCATCAAAATGATCACATAAAAGCTACACGCTTTAAGGTTAGAATTGTTAATACCAACCTTCTTACATTAACTGTTAAAAACAGACCAGTTTAGGGTTCTAATGTGATTTGCATTCGGAGCTTGGCGATAGTTTAATTGCCTAATTTTAAAAATTACTCCTTCCAGTTTTTAAGGGTAAGTGAGGTACTTTAGAAAAACGTAAAATTTCTATTATATAGACTATAGTATAGGTCTGCTCCAGCTCAAAGCGGAACTAAAAAAAGTTGCCTTTGTGGAAAAATATTTCCTGTTTTCCTGCCAGAGGTAGGAATGATGCTCTCATTAAAGAAACACAGAAAAATATCGGAGAAGAAAAAATGGAAAGATACCTGGAAAGCAGCAAGTCATCTTCTATGTAAAACTATTTTTGCTGACGCAAAAATGGGGAGATTCTATGACCTACACTAACCTTGAGTGGTATGATTTTTCTTTAAAGGAACAACATGATTTAAACAAAATGCTTTAGGTAACAAGGTCCCTGGTGAAAATGGAAAACACTTTTCTGTGTTTAATGCTCTGTTACTTGCTTGCAAAGCATTTAGCATCTAATTCAAACCCTGGCAGTTAGGTTTTTCTTAGAAGTAAAAGACTACAAGACTATCAACTAAGTATAAAACTCCAAAAAGGGTATTTTTGATTCTGAAACTACTATGAGATCCTAGTATATTAACATTCTTTTTCATGCTTGGAGAATCTCCTGCATAAATAGGGTGATTAATACTAACCTATCCTACAAGGGTATCTAGAAAAACAAATACATATTTAACATACCTTGTCAAAGTAAAGACTCCTGAGGGGTAAAGTCACAATTTATCATGTGGTGGAACAGTTTGTCAAAGAGTACTAAGTTCTCAGGATTTCCTATCTTCTCATCTTAATTCTTTACAAATTGCTAGAAGAGCATTATCCATTTTCTACCTAGAGTTGGGTAACCACTTACTTGTTAAAAAGAATTTTTACCTTCTAAATCTCATTGGTAGAGACTACTGGATGGGTAACTTAGGATGCTTTTTGGTTAGTTATAATAAAGAAATGCCACAGATGAATTGAGAGGCATCAAAACTTTGTAAGAGCCAAGAAACTAAAGCTTGCACCAATGATAAGATCATGTGGTTCTTTTAGCATTAGAGAAGTGGTTGTGGGTACAGACTGGGCAAGACAAGTTACTTTTACCTTTTTGTGAATCATTTTCCTCATCTACAAACTGAGTTTTTTTTTTTTTTTTTTTTTTTTTTTTTTTATTTTTTTTTTTTTTTTTTTTTTTTTTTTTTTTTTTTTTTTTGAAAGGAGTTTCACTCTTTTTGCCCAGGCTGGAGCACGATGGCACAATCTTGGCTCACTGCAACCTCCACCTCCCAGGTTCAAGCAATTCTCCTGCCTCAGCCTCCTGAGTTGCTGGGATTACAGGCATGTACTACCATGCCGAACTATTTTTGTATTTTTAGTAGAGACAGAGTTTCTCCCTGTTTGTCACGCTGGTCTCAAACTCCCGGCCTCAGGTGATCAACCCATTTCAGCCTCCCAAAGTGCTGGGATTACAAGCATGAGCCAACGTGCCCGACTTGTTTTTGTTTTTTAAGAGATGGGGGTCTCACTATGTTGCCCAGGCTGGACTTGAACTCCTGGGCTCAAGTGATCTTACTTCAGCCTCCCTTGTAGCTAGGACTACAGGCATGTGCTACTGCACCAGGCTGCAAATTGAGCTTAATAACATCCGGTTCATTAGGTTGTTGAGAATTACATGCAAAGAGCTACACCATTGCCTAGCACATGATAAGATGCTATTATTATTAGCACTGACTCCTTGAAAAGCTGCAGTGGAATAATAAGTCATCCCAATGTAATCTTTTAAAAATAAGGCCTTTTGGGTATAGCCAACTCAGAATCTCTAGTATGGTCAATTAACTGGCTATTAGAAGTTATCAGGGTATACATCTTACACCAGTTAGAATGGTGATCATTAAAAGTCAGGAAACAACAGATGCTGGAGAGGATGTGGAGAAACAGGAATGCTTTTACACTGTTGGTGAGAGTGTAAATTAGTTCAACCACATTGGAAGACAGTGCGGCGATTCCTCAAGGATATAGAACCAGAAATACCATTACTGGTATTTAAGAAATAACCCAGCAATCCCATTACTGAGTATATACCCAAAGGCTTATAAATCATTCTACTATAAAAACACATGTGCACCTAGGTTTATTGCAGCACTATTTACTACAGCAAAGACTTGGAACCAACCCAAATGCCCATCAGTGATAGACTGGATAAAGAAAATGTGGCACATATACACCATGGAATAAGCAGCCATAAAAAAAAGAGTTCATGTCCTTTGCAGGGACATGGATGAAGTTGGAAACCATCATTCTTAGCAAACTAACACAGGAACAGAAAACCAAACACTGCATGTTCTCACTCATAAGTGGGAGTTTAACAATGAGAACACATAGACACAGGGAGGGGAAACATCACACACCGGGGCCTGTCAGGGGAAGAGGGACAGGGGAGGGATAGCATTAGGAGAAATACCTAATGTAGATGACAGATTGATGGGTGCAGCAAACCACCATGGCATGTGTATACCTGTGTAACAAACCTACACATAGTATCCCAGAGCTCAAACTGCTGAGCTCTAGTGATCTGCTTTATTATACTTTTAAGTTCTGCAGATGTATCCCAGAAAAAAAAAAAAAAAAAAAAAAGAAAAAGAAGTTATCAGGGTATCTGCCTAATTTCGTGTGTGTGTGTGTGTGTGTGTGTGTGTGTGATGCTGGAGGCAGTACAGAGTCCATTTCTACCAATCTTTTAGAAGAAAGCAGCAATTAAATCAGATTAAAATCCTTAGCATATCTAAGCCCCAAAATGTTTAGTACACTTAGAAATTAGTCTCACAGTCTGCTTCGTGCTCTCTAAAGGACATTTTAGTAGACAGCGTGAATTCACTGCCTTAAAATATGAAAATAGGCTACAGGTACCATGTTACCTATAGTCGCTTACCTCTTTGCTGTTAACAACTCCCTCCCTCTAGTTTTTTTTTGTTTTGAGACACAATTGCTCTGTCGCCTGGCCTGGAGTGCAATGGCATGATCTGGGCTCACTGCAACCTCCGCCTTCCAGGCTCAAACCATCCTCCCACCTCAGCTTCTCGAGTAGCTGGGGCTATAGATGATTGCCACCACACCTGGCTAATTTTTGTATTTTTCGTAGAGACACGGTTTCAGTGTGTTGCCCAGGCTGCTCTCAAACTGCTGAGATCAAGCAATCTGTCTACCGTGGCCTCCCAAAGTGCTGGGATTACAGGCATAAGCCACTGTGCCCAGCCCACTCTAGTTTGTTAACCTTGCTTCAGTCCTTCCCCCCAACATACTTTTTGTTTTCATACAGTAAATGTAAGTCATATTCCTATGCAATTTATAAGTAATTTCTAAGATATAAATAATAAACTGATTTGTAATACAAGCTATAATTCAAATTTTAAGGCAAAGATGTTAGAAAAGTGGTCTTTGTGAAACAGTGGAATATTCTAAAGGTTTTCCTACTATCTCTGCTCCAATAGGCTTACATTATACTCTATAGTCTCCTTTCTTCTGCCTTTCAGAAAAGTAACCTTACAGGAAACATTCTGATGTATTCAATTAAAGTACCTAGGTGGAAAATACAGACAACATCATCCTTTTAACAGATCCGAGTAACTTTTTATCTAGTGCTTTTCTCCTTACCTTTCTACCTAACTGCACTCAAAATTATGCAGTTATAAAAATAATTTCTTTTGGAAATAAGTAGCTTAGAAACACACGGTGACTTTTTCCTTTTATTATAATTTAAGCTACTTCACAGCACTATTTCATATTTATCTCTAGTAAAATATAACCTGTTTCTTAGAAAAGGTAGCAAAATACCATGAAGTGAACAATAATATCTTTCAGTTGCTCACCATTGTTATATAAAACTACCAGGACGCTTTTACAATAGGTGACATGTGGGACTTTGGCACCACACAGAGTAATAGGTACAGCTGAGGAAGGATACCTTACTGGGAATAGATACCTTTATGATTTTTACCTCCAGAGGTTGTAACAGAGTCCAACAGACCTTTAGCCAAGAGGAACACTTGCATGGTATAAATTCAAAGCCTGCCTCAGCTGCAGCCTTACCATATAAACTTGGGCAACTCAATTTGTCTCTGTGTCCAGGAATTTTACTCTGAAATGGAGAGACAAACTACTCTCCTACTATCAGGGAATTCTTGGGAAACACCATTAATGAAACCACTGCTAACATAAGCACACAGAACCTGAATCTGGGTGAAACCTAAGCTGCTGATGACTGCCCCTGAGAGACAAGTGAAGATGCCTCACCTCCTCTGCCCTGTTCTATTCTCTATTTGGGAAAGAAAAAAAAATTATTTGAACAGAAATAATGGCTCCTTAGACCTGTTCTCATTCAGTAATTCCTACTGAATGAAATTCTTTGCAGAAGGTTTTAAAATAACAGTTTTGTACTGACTGACCTCAAAAGTACAATGGCAGAGAGAAAAGAGACTGTATTAAAGACCTGAAATCAGCAATCTCTCCTGGTGAGGTGATTAAGCCAGAAGAGAGTTTACAGGGGAAAAAAAAAAGAAAAGTATGTGACTCCCAAATATGAATGTATGTACATGTGTGCATGTGTGTGTGTGTGTGTGTTTCCCTTTTACTACATATTCTGGAGTTCAATTCTGTTCTGGGAAATACTTTGTTCACAAACGGTCAGGTATGGAATTTGCTCTGCTCAAGAATTTAGAGCTGAATTGGTTTCTGCAGACCTATATGACTTGTATCCCATATGCCCTGCCTCCTTTTAGAGCAGTAAAAGGAGAACTGGCTATAAATCTGGCCTTTGGTCTTGCCATATGGCCTTCTCTTAAATGACAAAAGCATAAGAAGCCAAGTTAGCAAGAGTTGAGACACAGATTCCATGACACGCAGTCTGTGTTAGAAACTATTTTAATGATGAATCCAGGCTTTCAGCAGTTATAAGTACTTCTAGAATGGTAAAAGATCAGGTTACATCTCTAAAGCAAGTTTAAAATTCATTATAAGTTTACTATGAGACTTTTCCATGCAGATATTATACTGAAAAAGAAAATCAACTGACACAGTTTTTTTTTTTTTTTTTTTTTTTTTTTTTAATTAAATCTCTGGCTTACTTCAGCCTAGGCAACTTTTCTTTAAGCAAGAATACTGGGGAAACAAATTCAACAGACTTCCTGAGACTGACTCATAGGTGTTAGTTTTCAATGAGGGTCAAGAGGGACATTAGTTTATAACTTTCATTAAAAACAGTGAGGACTGAAGGTGGGAAAATAAGGCTACCTGTTAGATGTGTCGGTTCCTAGTGGACCAGTAAGACAATAAGATTCAATTTTTCTTCTCTCTCCAATAGTGCGAGCTGCAGACCTTAAAAGGAGATTTGTATCTACTTATGTATATTAAGGGGGGTTTCCTAGTAAGTACTCTGGGCAACCTTTGGGTGGATACAAGTTTATTACTCCTTATTACTTTTAATACTTAGGTATCTGAGTAGTTCAGACTTGAAATATCATCAGCCAGTTTGCCATTGAAGAATATTCTATGTGCTAAACGTTGCGGGGAGGGTATGGAATGCTTGGTGAGCTGGGGTATGCAGATGGAAAAAGGATTGGTTTCTGCACTCAAGGAGCTAGGAGCGTCTTGTTAAAGAGCTGTGCGATGTACACAGATAGCTATCGCGGCAAGTCACAGGAACCAAAGGAGAGGCACACTTAAAATGTCTGATTACACATTACTTACAATTAAGGGGTCAGGCAAACGCATATGGTGTAAGTGGCTCTTGAAAGATGGGTAAAACTGGTACTTTTGTGTGTATGTGTTGCAAGAAAGAGCTGGAGAGTTATAGGAGACAGCTGCAGAAAACAACGCACGCTAGCTAACTCATCAAACTAGCAAAGCAGGATGTATGTAGCAAAGAAAATTAACTACCCGCAATGGCATCATCATTTGGACGAAGATTTGGTGCAATTCCCATTGATTCTGCAAAAGGCAAATGTTATTAAAGTTCTTATAATCAGTGACCTTAAAATACAACATATCTTTCTGATTCAATCACACAGTCTTGCAGTTAAGTCTGCTTCACTCAATTCTTAAACTTAGAACAAGCCTACAAGGTCAGAGGGGGCTTAGATTCCCTAATTACCCACAACTTTTAGTGTTATCATTTGCCTTGCCTTTTTCCTGCTGTGAGTGGTCACCTGCTGATGCAGAGGAAAGTGATCTAGCAGGAAAACCAACAGACTTGGTTTACGTAGTAAGTATGATATTTAGGCCCATCAAAATGTCCTTTGCATTAGTATAGGTAGTAGTATGATATTTAAACCAAAGTTTAAAATATGGTATTGGTATTTAAAGCTTACTACCAAACTAGACTTGGTTTAGGTAGTGTGATATTTAAACGTACCACTGGTATAGGTAGTAAGTATGATATTTAAACCAACAGACCTTGTACATCACACAACTATCTAATAAGACTCTCATTGCTGTTTGAGAGCAGAAACCAATCCCTAATTATGCCCAGCACTTTTTGTGCTTATAAGGCTTGTCTTTTTTCCCTACAGCAAGGATACAGAGCAAGGCTGAGGCAAACGAAGTCACAAAGGTTATTTCGTCTTTTTTACTCCTCAAATTAAGTGAACTACAAAGACAGTATCTTCAAATGAGAACCCAAGATCCTAGTTATTCCATAATTGATCAGGATTTGAGTCTAGTAATACCTCATAGGTCCTAGATAGAAGGAATAAGATCAAGCACTAGGAAATGTCCTTTGCACTGGTAAAGGTAATAAGTGTGATATTCAAACTAGTTTTTTTTTTTTTTTTTTTTTTTTTTTTTTGGATATTTTTTTTTTTTTTTTTTTTTTTTTTTTGAGATAAGTCTCGCTCTGTTGCCATGCTGGAGTGCAGTGGGGCAATCTCAGCTCACTGCAACCTCTGCCTCCTGGATTCAAGTGATTCTCCTGCCTCAGCCTCCCAGGTAGCTGGGACTACAGGCACATACCACCACGCCTGGCTAATTTTTTTGTATTTTTAGTAGAGTCACGGTTTCGCCATGTTGGCCAGGCTGGTCTCAAACTCCTGACCCTGTGATCTGCCCATCTCAGCCTCCCAAAGTGCTAGGATTACAGGTGTGAGTCACCATGCCCAGCCCAACTAGTTAAAAAAAAAAAATCCACAGCTGGGCGGTGGCTCACACCTGTAATCCCAGCACTTTGGGAGGCCAAGGTGGGCAGATCACGAGGTCAGGAGTTCGAGACCAGCCTGACCAACATGGCAAAACCCTGTCGCTACCAAAAATACAAAAATTAGCTGGATGTGGTGGTGCGTGCCTGTAATCTCAGCTACTTAGGAGGCTGAGGCAGGAGAGTCACTTGAACCCGGGAGGCAGAGGTGATTGTAGTGAGCCAAGATTGCGCCGCTGCACTCCAGCCTGGGCGACAGAGCAAGACTCTGTCACACACACACACACACACACACACACACACACACACACACACAAAATCACACACTGAAGTCCCTCTACCAAACAACGTTTTGAACAGAGCCTTGTGGATGGATCTCAGTAATAAAGTTTCCCAATTCCCTGATTGCAGATCCTGCCTCAGGGGTATGGAATTAAGATACGCACTTTGATTTGAAGGTAACTACTTACAGTTAAGTACCTATGGCCAATGCATGATCAAGAGGAAAGTGAAAAATACATGATGATATCATGTATTTTTGTTACATATTTTTTCCTCTTGCTTTATGTCACCAAATCAAAGTCACCTGGGGACACTCACCTCAGTGGCCACTTTGCATGTAATAACAAGGTTTCCAGGATCTTACTCGGTCTCTCCCAACTTTTAACACATATGGTTTTTAGCCAGTGTACTGTGAGAGGGATGGTGAATTGATTATTAATTTGTTCATATGAGGTTTTTCTCTAGCTGTATTTCTCATCATCAAGGGAAATATGACTTTATTATTACAGAGGTACAGCAGGAATCAGAGAACTTGCTTGACAGCAGTACCCCCTCAGCTGCCACGGACCTCTAGCTCTTTTTCCTAAAATGTACTTAGGCAAATTGTGCTTATTATTTTCTGTAATCATCTCACTGTATATTTGGGACCTGACTAGGTTATCAAAGCCTGACAACTAAAGAGGTTTAAAGGATGGCACAATCTGAATGACAAATTTAGGTTTGTTCCTATAAAAGACAACTAAATGGGAAGAAAAATCCAAAGCAGTGGTCTTTTCAATAGGTGCGAAATGTGATTTAAATTTCTCCTGCATCTTTGAGATCTTAATTAAATAAACTTTGCTGGTTAGGAAAAAGTAACGGATTACTGAGATTTTTTTGGCCAAAGAGTAGCTCAGTATGAAATAAATTCAACCACTAGCAATAAATACTAACAATTAAAGAAAAAAGAAAGAGAAAAGCCCAAACAGCATACACATGTACACATATATACGGCAGGCATCCTCAGTCTTAAGTGTTTTAAAATCTCACTAATACTCTTTTCTAATGATTATCAGACTCACTGCTTTATATCCATCAACCATGGAACTGAGTAGAGACAATCCAATGATTACATTTGTAAAGGGGTTTACATAGTTTGTGCTGTTTTTAAAAAACGGTCTAAAACTAGGAATTCATTTCAACTGTCTCAAAGCAAACATAAATAACTTTCTGAGGCGCAAACCACTTAGAAATTTTAAAAAGAGCCCACTCTACTAACGTAGAATAGGATGTGTATTTTGTCAATTAGAATAATTTTTTCATTATCTTTTCAAGAGACAGGTGTTCCATTATGTTTCCCAGGTTGGAGAGCAGGGGTATGATCAGGGTGCACTACAGCTTTGTAGTCCTGGTCTCTAGTGATCCTCCCGCCTCAGCTTTCTAAGTGGTTGGGACTACTTTGCTCACCACCAAGCCTAGCTGGAATAATCTTTGTGAATGGAGAAGAGTTGTATAAATGCTTGCTATTTGAGATGGCAAAACTTAACATGATATATATAAACTGTCTCCAAAACATCTAGAATGATGAAGGAAAAGTGAAGATTTAGACAACATCCAATGAACTTGCTTAACTCACTACACACAAGTATATATAACAAGTCAGTCCCCTTCAGTTCCTATCAGAAGGCTGAAATACAACTGCAGCAACAAACCATATCAAAAATACCTTGTTCAGTGACTAGTGGGAACTATATAAAACAGACCCCATCTTGCTTATCTTCCATATTTTTTTTTGGTGGTGTGTACAATCACTTTGTCCTTTGTGATGTGAGTTCAGGAAATCCCAACAAGTTCCTGCTGCAGAATGGAGCCTATGCAAAGAAAGATGTCTATATATAATCTTTCAACCCTATCAGCACATAAGTGAACATAAAATATGATTGACAATGCTTTAACTTTCCAGTGGGTGTGCCCACACTACACACAGAACAGAAAGAAACTGCTTTTTTTCTGTGATCTAAACTTATTATTTCAAAAATATAACTAACTTCCTTTTGGAGAATCAAGATAGTAACTCCCAACACTGGCACAGACCATTTGCACACCTAAAGTGTTAAGCTCTGTAAATCACGCAGCTTATAAATTTGTCACTTATTTCTATTGACTGACTGACTGACTGACTGAGATACAGTCTCACTCTGTCACTGAGGCTGGAGTGCAGTGTATGGTCTCAGCTCACTGAAACCTCCACCTCTTGAGTTCAAGTGATTCTTCTGCCTTAGCCCCCCAAGTAGCTGGGATAACAGGTGTCTACCATCATGCCCAGTTAATTTTTGTGTTTTTAGTAGAGATGCGGTTTCACCATTTTGGCCTGGCTGGTCTCGAACTCCTGACCTCAAGTGATCCGACTGCCTCAGCCTCCCAAAGTGCTGGGATTACAGGCATGAATTACTGCGCCTAGCCTGTAACCTATTTTTAAATTAATCAACATAAGTATTTCATAACTCAGTGACATGCTGCAATGCTACCCAACGCTGGGTGCCTCCAGGAAGTGCTAGCAGAATGTCTAAAGTGATAGTTTATTTGCTGCCCTTGGTCTCAGTCCTCTTGGGGCATCAGAGCCAAGTCTACAGTGGTTCAACTCCAACAGTCCTGGTGAAACAGAATCAGACTACTTACTTTGTATATACGATATGATACGGCTTAGACTATCCTTCTGAGAAATGCCCTATTTCTTCAATCACCCATCAAAGTTTTCTACAATTTTATTAAAAATACACAATTACCTGTTCAAGTTTCCCTTTTTTTAATAGATAGAGTCTAACTCTGTTGCCCAGGCTAGAATACAGTGATGCAATGTCAGCTCACTGCAACCTCCACCTCCAGGATTCAAGCGACTCCTCTGCCTCAGCCTCCCCAGTAGCTAGGATTACAGGCACACACCACAACACCTGGCTAGTTTTTGCATTTTTAGTAGAGATCGGGTTTTGCCATGTTGGCCAGGGTAGTCTCTAACTCCTGACCTCAGATGATCTGCCTGCCTCAGCCTTCCAAAGTGTGGGGATCACAGGCATGAGCCACCATGCCCAGCCACCTTTTCATGTTTCTAGCAAATGAATTTTTTAAAGAAAGCTTTCCTGATTTGTGTCCTATTATCATTACATGTTTTCTAAAGAATGATTCCTGGCTGGGCGAGGTGGCTCACACTTGTAATCACACTTTGGGAAGCCGAGGAGAGTGGATCACCTGAGGCCAGGAGTTCAAGACCAGCCTGGCCAACATGGCGAAACTCCATCTCTACCAAAAAAAAAAAAAAAAAAAAAAAAAAAAAAAAAAAGAATTAGCCGGGCGTGGTGGCGGGTGCCTGTAATCCCAGGTACTGTGGAGCCTGAGGCAAGAGAATCACTTGAACCTGGAAGGTGGAGGTTGCAGTGAGCTGAGATTGAGCCACTGTACTCCACCCTGGGTGACAAGAGCGAGGCTCCATCTCAGGAAGAAAAAAAAAAAAGATTCTTGGTATCATCTCCTATTTGCTTTA